CCCCAAAACCCCAAAACCCCAAAACCCCTTTAATCTCAGAGAAAATTGTTTAGTTCTAATATTTAAATAAAATAATGGAAGAAAGCAAGATTGATACAACCTCACATGTCAAGGAGGAAAATTATAATGGTGCTATTGAAGTGTATGATGGTAGGAACGGTACCCAAGGATCAGGTCAGAGTGAGATTTACCAACCACATCACACCTTGTAAGTGCATGAAAAGCCTTTGAAATTTGAGATTTTGCTAGTAAAAGTACTAGGATTGAAAATTTACTCAAAATTTTCAAAAACAACAAAATTTTTTTCTATCTCAAAAACTCATTATCTCTCAATCTACCCTTTCTCCACTTCTTTTTCATCCCTCTCCACCCTATTCACATACTCCTGATAAGCTCAGTTACATTTCTTCAAGATCCCTTACAAAAATCTGTTTAAAAATTCTAAACTTCCTTCAAACTCACTTATTTCCTTTAGCTCAAACATCAAGACCAAGGGTCAAGTCAAAAGGACCTTCGACAGTGAAGAAGAAAGAAAATTAATGGACTCAGTCCAGGCTGGCAAGAACAGGGGGATTTCTGAAATCGTGAAGGATAATGATCTCAGAAAAATATGGATGTCCAGCTTTTTTAAAAAGACAGTCCTTACGAAGAATTCTATCAAGAAAATCGATATTCATAGGGCCCTGGCGAGACTGAATGAGATTAAGGATAGCCTCACTATTCAGAATAGGTCGATACTTCTAGCAGGATTGGGAGAAGTGCTTAAAAGGAAGTACAACTTGAGTCAAGATGATGTCCAAAATATACTCAAAGTTATCCTAAATCCTATTAAGAAGGACGAAGAGGAAGACACTAAAGAGGAAGAGGAGACTCCCAAGAAGAAAAAGAGGAAGACTGCTAAGAGAGATAATGCTCAGAAAGAGAGACCGTTCAATTTATTCAAGCTGTTAGATATTCAATCTCTGTATATACCTCTTCAGCCGGCTGCATTGAACTATACCAGTGAAAAATCATCGTTGTCTTCAAAACTTTTCGGTCAGACAATGTCGGGTGAAGATATGGCAATTCAGAGAGACAACGAACTTAATGACAACCTTGAAAGATCTCTGGAAGGATTCGGCTCAAGAGATGGTAGCATTATGAAAGAGCCTAAGACAGAGCCTGAGAACAATTTTAACTTCAACCAAGATTCTGTCGGCTCTATAAGCAAAGAAATGCTTATGAACGATCCTCAAAACTCAGTAGAGGATAGATTCCAGATGGAAGATGACCCCGCCATGGGAGCGATGGAGGTTTTCGATAACCAAATAATGCAGAACTTGGTGAATGCTGGACTCAATATTGACGAAGATCGGATTAAAAAGGTAAAAATTGCTGATATTGAACTCTCCGACTCAAACTCAACTCTTGAAGAAGGAGAGCTTATTAAGAGAATTAAGAATATTAATATGCTAAAAGAGAGCTTAGTCAATGATGAGGACATAAATTCTAACAACACACTCTCTTGTTCATCATATTTCGAACTTGGAGATCCCAATGGGGATGGAAATCTTGACAGAAAATTGGAGAAATTTTTCAATAAAATCTCTAAAACTCCAAGATTCGACACACTGCTCGATGAGGAATCCTGCATAACCCCACTCAGTTCTACAGACGATGATAGCTGTAATGACCAGAACTATATTACAAAAGTGATCAAACAATGTAAGAATCTTCCACTGAAAATTGAGAAAAATCTCCAAATCATCAAAGAAGAGAGTGAAGGAATTGACGACTTCGGAGGTTTCGATGTCGATGAAGAGCTTCTAGGACCAGATGTAATGGACTCAGAAAAGTAACCAAATGTATAATGTATAGTATATTGAGCAGCTTCGGTGACCTAGTAGAAAAACCAGAGCAAAATTTCTTCAAACTAGAACCTCTGCAGGAGATCGAGACAGCAATGGGAGACGACCTTACTAAGACTTTAGAAAGAATTGATAAAGAACTTCACAATAAAGATAGTGTTTCATACTCTTCTCTCGTTCAAGGAAACACCAAGTCTAACAAATGTCAAAGATTTTTAGAACTCTTGCATCTCAAGAAGAGGAATAAGATCAATTTAAGTAAGATTTATCCAATAATTTCTAGTGCAAAATAGCTCAATAAGGTAGGAAATCTCATCTTTTGCTAAACTTGATACTATCTAACCTATAGAGAAAGCGAGTTTGGAGAACTAGTCATCATGAAGCCAGCCAAATAATCATTTAATAAACAATAGATAATCCAATTTTCAACCCTAAGAGCTTGAAATGGGGTTTTGGGGTTTTGGGGTTTTGGGGTTTTGGGGTTTTGGGGTTTTGGGG